GAGGCACCACGTAGAAGGTGACTACCTGGTGTAGGTGTACCAAAGCCTGGGAAAGGGAGCTGTGGGACCTTCCCCATCCCCGGGGAGCCAAGGGACAAGAGCATAAGGCCTGGGTGCTGCTCTGGAATGGAAGTGCTGCCAACCAAAGCCAGTGGCCAGAAGCTACAGTCTATGAAATTCAGCAGATTTTGGATGCATAGAAAATGGCCTCATTCTCAGAAGCTACACTGACACAAGTATTAAGGGACTTGTGAAATTCAGTGTAGGGTTCAGTTAAGAGAGTAATGATAAATCTCATGCATAAGACTGGATCCGAGGAATGGATTAGTGAAAAGGTCTTGAGAGGCCAGTCCTCAACTCATTTATGTTTTAATTAAGACCAAGAGAAACTAATCCCTGAATAGTTCTTGTGATTCTTTAATCCCTCATCTTTGCTTCCTGTAACTATTTCTATGAAATTGTATGCAGTGGAATGACTTAAAACATGATATGATTTGTTTCCCTTGTTTCTGAGGGGGTGAATGTAGGAGTGGAGAGAAAGTAGAAAAGAGAAAACCAAGTGGAGAAACTAGAGGAGGAAAGGGAAAAGGCAGAGAAGCATCCAGGTAGAAGAGCTGGTGATTGTTCATAAAGCCACTGGGTTACTTCTTGTGTACCTGCAAGACAGAGAAAGGAGAACTGAGCCTGCACTAAGAACAGATCCTGGGATCCTTTTGAATATCTGGATTCCCCCCTATCCCAGGACTGATGATGGTGAGTTACCAGTTGTCCCTGGGCTTGGTGGGTGAAGGCTGGCTTGGAGGAGGGGACTGAGGCTGGAGAAGGCCCCTTTACCTCGACTGGAGAGGGTTTCCATTTACCATAAATGAGGCATTTGTACCTTCTAGGTTAAAATATAGGATCCTGAGAGTTTGTGTCCAGCCACTGGTTGTGTTAAAGAGATAGTTTGTGCACATAAAAAACAACAGGGCATTTTTTAAAAAATTCTATCTTTGTCACATACAAATTATACTTAAAGGAAAGCACTGTAAACAAATGTTGAATTCTAGTTGAACACTTCAGCATGCATATCCTTAGGGGTGAAGTGTATTGATGTCTGCTACTTATTTTGAAATGCATCCAAAAAAACAAGACAGATTGATGGGTGAATAGAAGAATGGTAATTGCATAGATATGGGATACAGCGAGTAGAGTAAGATGTATTTATAGAGTCTGGATGGTTGGTGTGTGGTTGTTCACAGTTGTTTTTACTTTTTCATATTTCTGCAATTTTTCACAATAAAATGTTGGAAAAATCATACTAGAGAGAAGTTCTTTCAAAAGACAGGGTATAGACACCAGATTATCAGCCTTTCTTGAACATGCTATGGGGTAAGAGGCTCACTGAATAATGGGAGTGTTTTCTTTTGTCTGTTTCTTTTGTCTCGCTTGCCTTTTTCTTTTTCGCAGACTAGTACAGCAGAGATACTGGTTTTGGTAAAAGGCATGTTTCATTACTGCCCATTTAAAACTTAGGGGGAAATATCCTGTGCTATTGCTCTTGTAAAATATGCTTACTAGACAAATACAACTATGATTGCCAAGTATGAACATCCTATTTGATTATATATGAAATGTATTTATTCATGACAGTATTTGTTAACCAGTTAATAAGTGCTCAGTAGAAATTAACGTATCGTCCATGAAGAATTTTAGTTTAGCTTTAGGGTTTTCTTTTTTTTGGTTTTGCTCCAAGATGGACATTAGTAATGAGATGAAATCTAATATGTATCAGTGTCCAGAAATTACCTCAATTATTAAGTGACAAAATGTACACATTCTATCTTAAAGCATAAGGCATTTCTGTGGATTCTATGAGTGTGTATCTGGGTATTTAGATTGTAAATCACTCCTTGTAAATACAGGTGATGCTTTGGAGTGACTAGAAGTTAGGAGAAAGGAGGGAGGAGATAATTCTTTTTACCTTTTTCATGCTCACAAAAAAGGCCTAAAATATAGCACTAGACATTATTTTCTGAAATTTCACCTAATTTAACCACTACTAATGTATTTTCACTGTGCTTCTTCACTTCCAAATTGCCTACAGCACTGTAAGTAAGATATACCCATGAACAGTAGAAAACTTGTCAATAATAGATTAAACATTATCCAATAAACTTATTTTGAAATGTTATATGAACTTATTTTAAAATATTATGTTCATTTAGACTCAGTCACTTAGAGTTTGAAAAGAAAGTTTAATTTCAAAGAAATGGTGGGGTTCAAGATTTTTAAGTTAATAACTGTAGGATAAATCTTATCTTTTAGGACAAAACAAGTGAATTTCAGTATCATTAAGCACTAACACATGACAGTACATTTTTAATCATATTTTGTAAGAAAAGACCAATATTCTGGCTCTTGCATCTTAAAACAAAACAAAATCATTTTCTAAGACCAGAAAATATAAGTACTTGACTCATAAAATGCTTTGCTATTTTTATCAAATGAATAAATTAGTTTCTAATGAGTCTCCCTCACAAATGACAAACATCTGATTTCCAATTATTTTTCAGATGATTTTAGATAACTATATTTCTTAAAAATCAGACACACAAACCAATCTGCTGTAATAATGGTTACCTGCACAAACTTCGACTATTAAAGAGCTTTATGATGCCAGAAATTTTAAAACCTTTTGCTGAATATTAAAACTGTGTTTTAATAAAAAGAGAGAAATAGCACTCTGGCACTGAGGCAGTGTAGGCTTTTGAAAAGTCCTTTGTCACTAACAGCTTCTTTCTTACCAGACAAGAATAATGAGTTCGGTATTAGAAATGTAAGCTAGCTAAAGAAAACAATATGTAACATAATTGATATCTGCTGAATTGCTTATAATTTTTAAACAAATTACTCATGAAGCAAAACTGTTTCTCTTTTCCACTGGAAAGCACAAAACCTTGAATGTACTTAGATAAAGAGAATGAAAACTATATTTAAATCACTTTTTAAAATACCACATTTTAATTTGCACTTAGGAAAATACAGAAATACAAAGTTGAGAGTTATTCCCCAGGGTAGTGAGAATAACAACAAAAAGCAAAAAAGGGTAACATACAAGCATGTATCCACTGAAGCCAGGCAATGAAGAACAAATTCAATAATACAAATGATCAGGAGCATAACTTACCTCCTCGCCACACAGTACTCATGGGGGAATAGGATACAAGAAGGGCTAAAAGTCTCAAACAGGAACCCCAGGATATCAGGGAGCTCTATGTCGAGGCTATCTTCCACCCAAATGGTTGCCACACCTCTGACCCCCACCCGATATAATCAAATTTAAAAGAAATACTGACCAAAGCAACCTACCACCATCTTCGTGCAATGCAAATTCCTGAAGTCACTGTGCCTATGAAATGATTACAGTCTGTTCTCCAGGGAGAATTTATGATCCATGCCACCCTCTCAAGACGGCACAGTTACCTCCAAATGAGCAGAGCAGTCTGTCAGATAAAAAGTTCTCCAAAGCAGACTTCTCCACAGTGAGCAGAAAAGAACAACTGAAGTCTCTCCCACACACGCTTTCAGTATGGGCTGTGCCGGGTTATTATCGGCTCTGCCACCTGAGCTGCTGTTCAGTCTGAAAGGTTTTTAACACACCACCCCAGGATTACAGCTCCCTGGAAGGATTTCTAACCTGTAAACGCACAAGGCTTTCAAAGAAGAAGCAAACATGCACACTTGGATTTTATCTGCATTTTAAAACTATCCTCCCAGGACAGAATCTTTCCTCCCTCTGGTAAACACATGCTTGTATATATTAAAATAAAGAGGGTGTATAAATTAGCAATTCAGTCCTCTCCTGTAGCAAAGAATAAACTTACAATGCATAACAGGCTCACCATTTCCCCAAGCAGGCATTTGGGGTAGAGGTATTAGAAAGAAAGCAAAACAAGTAAACCAAATGAAAGAGATATTGTAACCTAAAAGGATGTTCTTTGCTAGGTTTTTGGAGGTAAGGTACACACATTACCCTACTTTTTTTCCAGCTCGAGACAGATCCATGGTTGCCGGTCATGGTGACATGCAATGAGCATTAAAACCACAGTCAGTCTTAGCAAATTAGGTAAATTGGAGATCATTTGATGCTGTCCTATTGTTGCTATTGTAATCACAGTAATTTTCCCTGGTAATGGTGCTTCGTGATGAAGTGCAATTCTCTCTCATAGGATAATTGTGGAAGATACGGAAAGATTCAGGGATACAGCATCTGCTTTGAAAAGCTCTTCAGATTCAAATTGGCATTTTACTTTATCTTGAAAATTTATTAGAGATTCAGATCATGCCGGTTTAAATGGAAAGGTGAAAGCAGGGTACTTTCAATCTATGAATTATTCAGTCTCAGCCTGGCGAAATTGCCATCCATGAACTGATGCTCTGACAGTCCCTTCGCAGAGCCTCCATTACGCTTGTCATTTTTATTTCTTTATCTACGATCTCTTTCTCAGTTACCAAGTTTGCCCCTTAGGGCTCGGCTTTGCAAACGGAGTATTTCAAATTGGCAATAACCTAAATGTGCTGTCTCAAATCGCTGTCTCCACAGGCTGTCTTTCTTTCCAAATCATTAAAAACCACATCCATGGTGATATCTGTGAGGTTCTTCGATTAGATGAATTGAAATACACACACACACACACACGCACACACACACATGCACACATACACAGGAGGGCATCACTGCGAAGAGCTATGTTCAGCTAACATCACAAGAGAAGATAAAGTGATGCTTTCTGCGTCCTCCTTTGTTGTCAGGGTGACCCATCCTAGCTGCATAGCATCACGTAGGAAGAAGCCAGTCCTAACGCAGGCTTGCCTGGCACCCTGATTTCCAGCCAGAGTTGATGAGGACTGCATGGAAGGAAGACTAATCCAGACCACTGTGTACTTAGCGAGCTTGATTATTTAGGAAAATAAGAAGCAGCCATCAGATGACCAAAATTAGACTGTCATTCTCCCAGGCTCCACCTGCACCCAGACTGCAGTCGCAAGGATTCTCCACTCCATGGCTGATTGTGTCACTGCTAGTCGACAGCTGTCCCGCATCCAGAGAGGACTGGGATTGATTTAGGTCAGTGAGTCTGGTTTCTCCTTTAAACCGTGTTCTAACTGAGGAGTGGGGATCTGCGCCAGCCCCCGTGACCAGCCTTAAGTGGGAGCTGGGGAATCCCACAGCGTCAATGCGGTGAGTCGCCCAGGCCCCAGCCAGACAAACCATGGCAAGCATCCTCTCCTTTGTCCTAGCCTTTACTCCTGCAGGTAGAGCAGCGTGGCGTACGAAGCCCCCAAACTGTACACACGCGTGGTGGGCGACCAGCCGTGCCCCGTCAGAGGCAGTTTGGTGACCAGGCTCCGAGCAGTACCTGGTCAGCTGAATATGCACGCTAGAAGCCATCGTGTACAATCAGACTGCATCTCGGCTCCTGGCTAAACAAAGGTAAATACTCCTCCTGTGAGCAATGCTAAGTAGTAGCAGAAAAAGAAAACTTTAGAACTCTGTTGCTTTGTGCCTAGTTGTACGCGTCAGCTTTGCTGCATTGCGACTAGAAAGCGGCAGGAGCTGGGGCTGGCATTTGCAGCAATGCAGAAAGCAGCAGCTATGACACAACAGTCAGCTGACTCGAAGTGAGTTGTCATTCAGTGTTCTCTTCAGAACTGGATAGCATCTAAAGGGGCACCAGGCAGATGACCTTGAGTGGTAAGGGTGGCTGCAGGAAGGGACCCTTGCTTGGTGCACACCTGGCAGGAGCTTCTTACATTGCTTTTCTCTCGGGGAGCTTTACCCTGCAGCCTTTAGGACTTAACTATTTCTGTCCCACTTGCGAAACCGGCAGGTCATTCTTGGGGTGACCATTCCAGTGCAGAAACAGGTTAAAACCATCACTGCTCCTCTCGTTTGGGTTTGTTTCAGGGTCACAAAAATAATTGTGGGATAATTCTTACCCATGCTTTGCTTTTAAAACCACACTTTCAAAAAACAGAAATTGCCTTAAGCTACTGGTGTGCTGTAATGATCTAGTACATTGTACCTAACAGAATGGTAAGAGCAATTGGAAAAGCTGGAAGGTAGATTAGTCCGGCAGTGGCCTTATATCATGGTCCGTTGCTAGAAAGCAGTGTGCCTGCTGTCCTGGAAGGCGAATTGTGCATCCCAATCAATCTGACAATAGAACAGAAGCCTTACATGGTATTACCCCAGTGGTTTGAGGAATTGCTAAAATAAGAAAGCAGTCATTATGAGGTATTTGTTTAATGACTGTAATCATACTGAATTAATTTAACTTGCTGCAGTGTTTAACAGAAAGTCAATTATAAATTTGTGCTAAAAGAATAACAGTGCTAGTATTTGCATAGAACCTTCCTCTAAAGAGACACCCTCTGAAGATAACCTCAAAGTCTGGATATTCACAGAGTACTCAGAATGTGCTAAGTGCTCTATGGAATGACCCAGGACTAGCTTCTCTAATGACCCGGAGCCAGTATGACATACATGTATTGCATAAAGAGCATGCAGAGGGTTACCATGTCGAGCTATGTATGCCACTCCTTTTAAAGGGTATTTAGTAATTTTTTTTTGCATGTCTCTCATATGAATTTTATTTTTCTATTTGCTTTTCATTTGGTCCTCTTGACATAAATCTTGCTCGAAAGAGGGATTTCTAGATAGCACACAGAGGTCAAAACTAGGTGAAAGAGCAGCACGCACGTAATCAGAGAATTGGGGGGATTAAGTAACATTAAGGTGAGGGACGGATGCCACTTTGAGGATGAGCTGCACAAGAGCTAGGAAGAAGCACCTGGAGAGAGGGAGACATAGACTTCTCTTCCTGAGCTCTTTCCTGCTCTCATTTATAGATTCCAGTAGTCCCAGGAACCTGCTTTGCTGACTCCTTTTAAAACCTAGTGGGAAAAGAGTCCCAACTGATACAATCCAGGAAGCTTTTCTGTAACCCCTTGGAGACATTTATATTGTGAAGAAAATTGAACTTCAGGAAAAGGTGCGGGTATCTTACTGTGGAATTTCCAGCACCAAGTCTCCAGGTAGGAAACCATTTCTGAAGGCTGAGGGATTCCATTAGGGAGGTCACTTCAGACAGCAGAGTGGTGGCCAGGAAGCCCAACACCAGTGTGTGCCATGCATGTTGGTGGCCAGCTGGGGCCTGGGGGTGGCAGATACCCTGACCTCTCTCCCACCCTCCTTGGGGGCATCCCAGCTTTGCTTTATGATTTTGTTTTAGGTCCTTGCTCACCAACAAGTGGCTCAAGTATTGTTATTTTTAGAAAAACTCTCAAATAACAAATTCTACCACATACTTAACATTGAGAACCACTGATTGAATATTGCCATATATCTCATTTTCTCTTTGTACATGTGAATTTTGGGGAAATCCAAGCACATTAAATATGTTATAGTAGAATAGAAGGATGGAGAAATGATAATGAGACCTTAAATGTACATACTTTTATCTTTACTGTTAAAATTCTGGGCAAATCAATAAAAAGGATGATTGTTAACAGGAGAAATCTATAGCTGTAGTGGACCCGTATATCTTCTGGATGTGGGGACATGTGACATACCCTTCCACACCTCCTTGTACTTTCCTGTCATACAGTAGTGACCACTGCCCCCCCCCCAAAAGTACTGGAGATTAAACCCAGGACTCTTCTTTCTTTCTTTCTTTCTTTCTTTCTTTCTTTCTTTCTTTCTTTCTTTCTTTCTTTATTGAGACAAGGTCTCAATAAATAAGTGGCTCAGGCTGGGCTAGAACTTGCAATCTTCCTGCCTCAGCCTGCTAGAGTGCTGGAATTCTACACATGTACCACTACATTTGGCTAATGTAGTCCTCTCAATGGTCCTGTGTCCTTCACCCTGCTACTAGGTCCTCATTATTCACTACAGGAATGAGGGAACGCTAACATCCTCTTCCTCTTACTTAGGGAAAACAGCTCTGAGTGATCCATTATTCCAACATGAGAACATGAAGTTTTTCTTTCATTACAGGTTGTCCTGAAATCACATGCTACCAAGGACTGAGGAATGCTAATTCTCAACTGCAAATACTGACTTACAGACCATATAGCAAAGAATAAGCAAAGAGAGGGTTGTGGGAAAATGGACAAAACTCTATGAAAGAAAGTCAATCAAAACCCTATATGGCTAATACATTTCAGTTAATTTGAGATATTTATTCAGAAGAATAAGGCACACATTTTATTTTCCATTTGCATTTTGGAAAGAGAACCCAGTGAGGAGGTGGCTTTCAATGCCTGTTATAGTTTGAATCTGAAATGTCTCCCAGAAGTTCTCGTGTTAAATGGTGGGTCCACAGCTGATGGCACTGCTATATTAGGAGGTAGTGGAACCTTTAGGAGGTGGGGCCTCGTGGCAGGAAGTAAGGTTATTGGGGGCGTGGTCTTATAGGGGATATTGGGACCTTGGCCCCTTCCTCTCTTTTTCTTCTTCCTGGCTGCCATGATGGGAGTAGCTAGTTTCACCCTATGTGACTCCTGGTCACAGGGCCAAAGTGACAGGTCCAAGTGACCATGGACTGATACCTTTAAAACTATGAGCCAACATAAATATTTCCTCTTCTAAGTTATTTGTCTTGGGTATTTGTCACAGCTATGGAACACCAACACAATGCCATTGTTAGAAATCTCTGTTCAGCTCAGATCAGGGAAAAATTCTCTTCCCTGGCCCTCTGAACTCTCCATTCTGATTTTTTACCCCACATGCTCTTTGGCAGTCTTGTGAAGTCAGTGGATCACTTCTCAAGAATGTTTTTTCTGTACACCTTCAGTGCAATAAACGGAATTATAAACTAATTATAAATGTCTTGCTTAAGAACCTTCACCTTAGAAAATCAAAATACTTCCAAGATGAAATTGCAAAGTGAGTTTGGTTGTCTCTGTCTAAAGATTGCCCAGTAAGGAAGCAAGTTCAAGAAGAATCTAGACAAGATAAGGAGGTAGGAAGGGGAATAGAAGACTAAATTTATTGAATATGATTTCTTAACGTGACCCTGTTAGGGACTAGGAGATTCCCCTGTTCACATTTTTAAAAGCACTGTACTTTCCAAACTGATTAATTCGCATGACATAGACCCTTCTGAAGGCTCTTGGAGGTGGGCAAGTGAAGGGAACTGATTCTCTCAACTTTTACAGCTGTAGGAGGAATTGAAACTCAAAAAAGGTTGAGTTTCACTACAGCACTTTCTAAGCGGCCACCGAGCTCAGAACCCAAGTCTCCTAAATCCCAATCAGGCTCTCTCTCAGTACATATTTATAATCACTGGTGTGCTGGAGCCAGTTGATGATATTAATATTATTTAATAGTCAAAAATTTTACCCAACGCTAAGCCATTGGCAGCTTGAAATCAACCATAGCAGGAGTATTTATACCACAAAAATTGGCAATCTGCACATCAGGGGTGTTGCTTTTCTCTGAACAGCTGGTTCACGTGTTCTAATATATTTAACTATGCCAACTTGTTTTGTGTGTCCCTACAATCCAAAGTGCATAAGTGGTTTAGCATGAAGCTCTCAGGTCAAAAGGCCTGTCTTTGGTTTCTGCCTACGCCACTGATTATCTGTGTAATTTTGGTCAAGAAAATTTACTTCTCTGGTATTCAACTTCCTATTATGTCAAACAGGGCTGGGAACACTGGGCCTTTTAGGTTGTTACACATGTGACAGGAATTGGTGCATGTAAACTACTTAGCAGAGATTTTCACATACAGGAGATCCCAGTGGCTGTTAGCCATGATTATTTTCCTCTTTACCTTCTTTTTATTCCTCCTCCTTTTTTCTTACTCAATTGTTCATAAAGGCAGATTAACATTATTTGTACTGACATTAAGGGAAGTCACTGTTAGGAGATTACAGGCAAACAACAAGAAGAAGGCAAACAAACACCGTGTACAAACTACTCAGATTCTGGAGAATGCAAATGTGATTCCTGACTCTCCTGGGTTATAGAGATTTGAAGGGCTGTTGTTATTTTTGTAAAAATCCTGTAATCTAAGAGAACCACACAATTCAACAAGGTAACTATTTGGTGGAAATAATTTCAGCATGATTTTAGAGAAACCAATTTAAAACCATATTCAGTCAGATTTGTGCATTTCAAATCAGGCAACTATAGATCTAAGATATTCCTTCTGTACTGAGCACAGATTTTTTTGGTCATTATTCGATAAACAATATGTCATATCAACTATTTACACAGAATTTACATTTTATTAGGTATTATAAATTTTCTAGGAATGATTTAAAGGCTAGAAAGGATGTGTTTAAGGTTATATGCAAACACGTTGCCCACTCCCCAAAATACCATCAAGTGTGACTGCAAATGCTCTCTAATGGGCAAGAGATATAAGCCTCCAAGCTCCTGCAGGAAAAACTGTTTAAAATCAAACACTAATTCTGTATAATAACAGAACTGCAAAAACAGTAATAACATTGGCCATTTACTAAGTGACATCACAATAGTCTTAATTTTCCCCAATCATAAATGGAATAATATATGCACGGGAATTTCTCTTTTTTCCTGTCCTAAATAATTGAGGTATGATTGACAAATAAAAAGTGTTTATATTTGATTTGCCCAGCATGATGTTTTCATATACATTATGAAATGATTACCACAACCAACCCTCACCTCCTATTGTTACCATTCATGGGGCTTTCTGTGGCCAGAGTTCTAAGTGCTTGGCATAAAAACTCATTTGATTCTTGCAGTAATCCTATATGGAAGATTATTAGTATTCCCATAAGTACTCAGTCAGTTATGCCGCTTTCACAAAAAGACCAAGAGTATAAAGAAGTGAACCTTTGCCAAATCACACATCTGATGAAGAAGGTAAATGGATTCAAACCCAGGTTTGTCTCATCTGGGTTCAAATCCAGATCTTGTCCTCTTTGCCTTTAGTATTCAAATATGGTCTTCCTAGAATTTAGTATTGGGTTATAGTCTCTGAATAGGTTGTAAGAAAGGAAGAAAAAATAGAAACTAGACTTGAAGTCACTCAAGTAAGGTTTAAAGTCTAAGAGTCAGTGAGTACAGAGACCCCATCTCGTGAGAGTTATTGGGAAGTGAGTGCATTCATTACCATGTTGCTTTAATGATATTTGACTTCAGTGATGTGTTGGTAACATGATTCTCTGGGCTGGGGTGGAGCCTGGCTTATAGCATTTGCCCATTTCCATACTGTAAATATTTCCATTGTGGCCAAATTCATATTGTTTTCTACCACAAGGAGGAATCAGAAAATATGGCAAATGGTTACATTTTAACATTTTATTGCATGGGCCGGGGATTTAGCTCAGTGGTGCCCATATGTACCTCGCAAGCACAAGGTCCTGAGTTCAATCCCTGGTACCAAAAAAATAAAAAGTATTGCACTAAAAGACACATTGGCATTAGTCTCCCTCAGAATACTCCTCCTTACTTCAAATACACATATCCCATCCTTCCTGCCACTTTCTGAAGCAGTTTGTTAGTCCTCTTCTGTTAGTGTCTTTCGGAGATGTGGTAAACATGGTGAATGCTGCTGCGGAGTGCCTGCCATCCAACAGAAAGGCAGGCATGTGAAGACATTATGGTGTGTCCTCATCCTCCTTTTGCACCACTTCTGGCAACATGAGATTTAGCTCTTCCCCAAAGTCAAAATGACCATGAAAAGTAAGTGTTTTGAATTGATTCAGGATATCAAAGCAGCCACAACCATGCAACTAAAGACACAGAAGGGGTCTTCCAGAATTGCTTCTGAATGATGGGATAAATGTGTTCAAAGGGGAGCCCTCTGAGTGGTATAGATATTAATGTGTCTTTTACTCTAATGACTGCTTTTATTTAAACATATACCATATTTTTCAACTATATATACCTGTATATTTGGATCTCCGGAGATGTGCATTCCAAAGCTACAGATTCAACCAACTGCAGATCAAAAATATTAGAAAATTTTGTCTGTACTAAACATGTGCAGATCTTTTTTCTCACCACTAATTCCAAACAATCTCACAACTACTTACACAGTGTTTATGTTACATTACGCTAGTTACTATAGTTCATCTGGACGTGGCAGCTGTGTTCATTCTGTAGTCCACCATTTTTTTTTTGAGTGGAAAGAAATTATCTCGAACCACATATAAAACATGTAACATAGTTAAGTATACAAGTATCAAAACTTTCTTTTTAAAATTTTTTACCATAATATTTTTTAAAAGAGTACAAAAAGGGCCAGGGAGTTAGCTCAGTGGTTCTGCTCCCTGCCTCACAAGCACAAAGTCCTGAGTTTGATCCCTGCTACCAAAAAAAAAAACCACCAAAAAAAAAAGAGAGAGTACAAAAAAACAGCAGGTCACAGGTTGGACATGCCTGAACGTATACTGGAGGATGTGTTTAGGTTAGACACACATACTATATTATGTCATTTTTATATAAGGAACTTGAGCCCTGTAGGGATTCGTGGATCCAGTCCCCCATGACCAAGGGACAACTACACATTCAAGGCAGACTCTGTGTTAGACCCAAGGTTTTCCCACATTTAAAGGCTGTAGGAGTCCCAATATCTTTTCTGTTGCTCCTCCCAAACTTTGTACTTCTATTTCTTGTATTTGATGACAGTGATTTTACTTTTGTTCTTCATGCTTTTAGAAGAGAGTTGACACATTTATATATTACTCGACCATCTAACAAACCTAACAAATCTGGGTTGCTTTTTAAGTGGAATGACCCTGGATTGACTGGGTGGAAGGTTTCCTCAGCCTGGAACTTGCAGGCATATGTTTATGTGTGCATGTACACACACACACACACACACACACACACACACACACACTGAACAATATCGACTGCATACCCTATATAAGCCAAGAGCATGTATGAACACCTAGTGCTCGCCAATTGAGATTTATGCCTGGTCTTAGGGGCTTTCCCATAGTTTAGCTATGTACAATATTTTGAGGCCCCAACCACAATGAAAGGAACATTGTAGTATATGATCACTGTGAGGTCACAGTATGAATTCAGACTTAGCAAATTAAATGGCAATTACCCTTTGAGAAACCGTGTAACTGTAAGGATAATCACCATATTCTATGCAATATTTTTAGATCTTTGGAGGTGCTAATTTGTAAATCACATATAACCAAATGAATAATTACATAGCAAGGGGCTGAAAGGTAATTGCAAAATAATTGCATACTATTTGATCTGTCTGTGAAAACATGTTTAATAGAATAGTCCCCTAAATGATTTCTTTTACCTATGGAACATATTCAAGCTATTCTTTTTCCTTAGTTCTGTTTAACACTAAGCCAAATCTAATTTGATGAAATATACTCTGCTGTAGGTTAAAGAACTGGCCAAGGAACTTGTTCTTCTCTACATTCTGTAAATGTTATTAGCTTTTAAAAGTTGATCATTAAGTGTATTCTACCTTTGGAAAAATACATGGTGGTGTAGGTTGTTTGTTTAATGTAGGGCCCTCTGTAGCATCTGCAGGTGTTTCCTGGTCTCTCCCCCCTCCTCCCTCCCTCCGTCTCCCTCCCTCCCTCCCTCCCCCTCACACATCCTCCCTCTCTTCCCCTTTCCTTCTCCCTCTCCCTCCTTTTTCTCTCTCTCCTTCTTACATCACTTCAGGAATATAAATTAATGGAGAGTCAGGGACATAATTAAGTAAGTGTATGTGTGCAGCACTGAGGAGACCCTTGATAGTCCACATTGGGCAAGTCACTTCCCATCTCTATCTCAGGCTTCTAAATTTCAAGCTGGAAATGAGAACAATTTGCAAGTAGAACACACAAATGCATAATGCATGTGAATGCCCTTTTGAAAGTTTCAAAGTGCTATTTTTAA